CGGATATAAATATATCCTTAATATTTTACAAATATATTACACAACATTAGGAAATACTTATGGTATATGAATTAAAAAGTAATAGTGGATAAGAATGGTAACATTTATTTTTATGTGGTGGTGGTAAATGCGTTAAATCATGGCACCAGTATACTTTCTAGTGGGTTAAATTTTCCTGTAGTATTCTGCTGTTTTTTGAATTCTTTGTAAAGGATTTTTGATACCACAGTCCTTTGTGATTTCTTTGTGAAGGAGTTGCAGAAGACTGTTGTAATAGTTTTTTTTTTTTAATTTTTATTTCTCAGAATTTATATTACAATTGTAAAAATTTTGAAATGCTCTATTAAAGATGTTTTTGGTCCAATGAGCCATCTCAACAGATTTTTGAACTACTTTAAATGAAATAGATAATTTCATTTGCTTTTATTTATTTATTTATTTATTGTTAAATTCTGAAAAATCAGCAAAATTGTGCTCTCAGTATTAAATAGGTAAACGAAACTTTGCATGTTTATTAATATTTTCTTTGACTGCCATCCAGCTGGTATAGTGCTTAGTGGCCCTGACCATGACCTTCGAGAGGGAAAAGGCCATGACACTTTATAAACATGGCGGAGCTTTCCGTCCAATATTATCGTCAGAAAGTCATCTGGATTTTTAAATTTTCGTTGAAAATATAACTGTATCATGTTGCTTAGTTAATTAAAATAGCTAAAAGAAAGGAGGCTTTATATACATTATTTTCAATTTTTAGGCATTTTACAGATATTTTAATTAACTTTGTGCATAAATATAATTGAAAGAACCGAAGAACAAACGAACATTTTACAAAAATTTAAACGCTGATTGAAAATTACCACTGTCATGATAAATTGGGAAGAGGTTCTTAAGATAATAAATAATATTTTACCTAGGCTCAAGTATTAACTTATTCGTGTTTCAGAGAAAAATAGATAACCATCAACTTCTATATGTCCAACGTATGTAAATGAAATACGACATGAATTAGCTAATAAATGTGATAAAAAATATTTCATACAAGAAACATACCTAAATCTTATAACAAAAAAGACCTTCCAGCATTCGTATTTGAAATGAGATAACCTAACAAACAACTGGCAATATTTTTAAAAAACACATAAACTATGCAGTGTTTGAAAGTTACCACAAAAAAGTAATAGAACTACTATTTCCAATTAAATAAAAATCATTTAGTGTTTTTTTAAATAGCAAGCTCTGAAAAGTACAATAATTAGTAGCAATGCTGATGATTGATATATATATATATATATATACTTGTTTTAGACAATGACAGATTCTCACGGCCATTTTATTCATTTTTTCAAATCAATAGCATTTCTTTGGATGCTGCGCAGAAATGATTTGAATACTATACGCAATAGAAGAACTGCATATTTAAATCTGCTCTTCATTAAATAGCACACAACAAAAAGTTTTTTTCCCATTTATCATGAATTTTATTGCTATCACAAGCATGTACAAAAATTAACAATGAAGATGGAATGTATTCAAATGTAATAATTAAAAAACATAACTTGCGACATTCGTATTCATACCAAGAGCTATATTACAAATTCTAAGAGAAAAATAACAGAACTGCAATTTGCAGCTAATGTAAAATTTAATGTTTTTTTTAAATATTATATGATTAAAATGCAAATAATTATGGATTACAATATTTAGTAGTAATGCTGATGTTTCTTAACACCATTTCTTTCAGTCATATGCAGGTGGATATACATATTTAGCCTCTAAATTTTAGGATAATAGGAATTACAATTATCATTTATATTCTTTTTAAAATCATTAACCTTTCTTTGCATATTACATAGAAGAGCTTTCAATAATATACACAATAACTTACTATGTGCATTAAAATCTGCTCTTCATTAAACAGCACGTCAAAATCATTTTTTTTTTAATTTATTGCTTCCTTATTATCACATATATCAAATTAAGCAAAGCTAAAGTTAAAAAAGGTAAAGTTATCAAATTAAGCTAAAGTTATACTTAAATATAATAACAAAAATCATATAATCCAACTTTCATATTTATTGTTATTTATAGTGGTTTCATAACATTTGCTCTTTCTATCATACCTTAACATATTCTATTCTTTGAAATAATCCTGATAATTTCATTCAAAAAATACGTTTTCTAAAATCAGTAAACTTTTTCACATAAACTGCGCAGAAAACCTTTAAATATACACAGTAGTATACCACATGCATTAAAGACTCTCTTCAGGAAATAGCATACACTGAAACTTTTTTTTTATCCCATTTATCATGAATTTTCCTGCTATGACAAATATATACAAAAATTAAGCAATGGAAACAATATACTTTAATAAGTAAAAACTCTAAATCACAGTTGCAAGACTGACGTATTTCATTACAAAGTAGCCCACTATTACTGATAAATATTTTAAAAAGTGAAATAATGACTGAAAGCTGATTTTGGAATTTTTGAAAATATGTTTCATATTTCTTTGACATAAGTTTTCTGAATAGGCAACAACTATGGATTATAATATTAAAAACTAGTATGGACGGTTTCTTTTCTTCCCCCTTCAATCAATAAATTATCCAAACTTAATATCTTTTCTTTGCAGATTACACACTGCGTTTCAAAGAATGTACACGATAACCAGCTATATATATTAAAGCTTGCTGTTAATATACATGAAATATGCATGGATATACATCGTGTTTTAACATTGGACGTTTTCTTGGAATTCTTAAAATCGCCCCATTTTTATCCGTGAATGCATCTTCATGCACAATCATATCTTTGGGAAAATGCTTTTCACAAACTTCGTTTAGATGGTATGAAATTCGCGCGAGAAATCTTACTGCACCAAAGCTGCTTTTTTGCTTCATCCATTGGAAATATGTACACACGTAATTTTCAGTTCCAGTGTAATTAGAATTGCACTTAGGTACACAATAACTCTAAATCACAGTCAATAATGGTCAGGCATTGTTACAATATTAAAAAAAGTCAGCACTAAACAAACTATATTAACAAATTTAGAGCTTTACAAAAACGTACACACGCCTCGTGGTAGTTACAAAACTAATGGTGGAAAAATGATGGACGGAAATCATGACTCATCTCTGACTTGTTCGACGAGTGTCATGGCCTTCTCCCTCTCGAAGGTTATGCCCTGACTGTCATAGTGATGGGTCTGGGTTCGAATCCCGTTGAAGGCATGGTTGTAACTGTCCAAGGAAGCATGGTGGCCACCTGTTAGATGCTTCCATAATGAAATGGCTACCACTTCCTGCCCTTGTAGTGGCACAAGGCTAATGGCTATTAAATAAAGATCCTGGGGCATTAAAAAAATATACATATAATATATATGTATAATTTTTTCCCCCCTGACATGCAAAGAACCACTATAATGCATTTCTGTACTTTTTTGTACTGTTATTGGAAATGGATTTAGAAATGTGTGTGTATATACAGGTATGTATGTGTTCATGTATGCATGTGTACATGTACACACACACACATATATGTGTATGTATGTATGTGTGTGTACAAACACATATATGCAATGCATAAATACCCACATGCATACATACATGCATTTCTGAATACTGATAACAGAAGACTACCTTTTTTTTTTCCTCTCAAAATTCAACCAAAAAATCTGCCATAATAGCATTTTTATATTTCAGAACTCATTTTACTATTGTAAAAGTTTTAAAATGTCATGCTAAAGATTTCTTTGGTTAGGGAAGCCAGACTGCAATACTGAAGGGCCTGGGTTCAAATCCCAGAGAAGACATGGATGTAAAATTGTTTGTCTCTTCATAGGAGGTAATGGTGGCTGCCTATTATGTGCCTCCACAATAAAATGGCCACCACTTCCAGCCTTAGTAGTGGCCAATGCCATTCTTTCCAAGTGTCCGCCGTTGGGGAGGGAGGTGTAATAAGACATCTCTTAGGTTAATAAGACATTTGTTAGGATTTTTTAAGTCTTCTGTTTTGAATGAAAATGATAAGACATCTCTTAGGTTAATAAGACATTTGTTAGGTTTTTTTTAAATCTTCTGATTTGAATGAAAATCATTTCATTTGCTTGTACATTTATGAAATTTTGAAAAATCATTGAAAAGTATGCTTATGGTATGAAATAAGTAAATGAAAATGTGCAACTAGGGACTTTAATATTTTCATGATTCTAAGTAAATGCAGGACCAGTTCAGTTGAAATCGTAAGCAGATCACGAGCATATCGGAAGTGAATTAATTGAAAGTTAAGACTAGAATATAAATTATATTTCTGAATAAGAATACTCATGCATATTTTAAAAGAGAATACTGTTAGAAAATGGGAAAAAATAAGTGGGAATATGCAGAAATCAAAACTAGTCTTAGATTTGTTTAAAGAGGTCATACTTAGTTTCAAAAAGCATCTGCAAAAGTACAAAATAATTTTTTTTTTTTTTAAACTTATAACTGAGTAGTTCTTTTTTAACTCTGATGCATAAATGAAAATAATGTTATTTTGTTGTATATTTAATAGAGATTATTGAAAATTTATATGTAGCAAGAAGACACATAAATAAGAAGTAAAAATTTCTTCAAATCATGAAGAAGATTTATGAACTCAAATCTTAAAATTCTCATCCTTTTTTATTCATTTAAAACTTTTGATTGGAAATTTAAAAAAAAAACTGCTAAACATTTCAAAACAGAACATAGGAGAAATAAATTTTATTGAAGTCTAGTTGAAGCATTCATTAAAAACAAGGTATAATAGATCACCATTGCTAATATGTGGTAATCTATCTCATCATGAATGTGATAGATCACTTCATAATCTTGTGAGTGCTGCATTCCAGATTTGCTTTCATGATTTATTAAACAAATTTTTGATTTTTTTTCTTTTTAAAAAAATTTTCCATATATATAATATTGTTTATTTAATTATACTTTAAATAACACTCAAAAGTTTTACTTTTCTAGAATGAGGATTTGAGTGATGCTGGAGCTGTTGCTGGCTCTGCCATTCAGCTTAAACCACAGAAGTTCAAACTTTCTTTAAGACCAGGTATATTTTATATTATTTCATGATGCTTTCAAAATAGTTAAATTTAAGACAAAATGCATAATGATCTTCTAAAATTATATTCATAATTATTTTTTATTTCTTTTTTAGGTGATCCAGCTGCATTCACATTGACTTTTAGGCAGGCAGAAGACTATCCTGTTGATTTATATTATTTAATGGATTTAACTTTTACTATGAAAAAGCATAAAGAAACACTGGCAGAGCTTGCTGACACAATAGGTAGGCTTTTAGTGTTCTCAGTGTAACACTTATTTTAGGACTCTATTGATTGCTATTGAGTTTTTCAGTTCATTAGCAGTTAATGTGAGAACTAAGGTATGACAATAGCCTTTTATTAAATGTTTGCCTTCCTTTTTCTGCTGTACTTTTGACCATCTTGGTTTGTTAACTTTGAAGTGTTCCTCATTTATTTTTTTAAATAACAGAAATATAAAATTTGTTGAAATAATACTCATTTACAAAATAATAAAGTTAAAGCTATGTTCTTTTCACCAAATCATGGAATATTGCTGATGAAATTGAGAATGTTCAAATTCCTATACATGACCGAAGGAAACATTTATTGAAAATGCCGGCAAAATTGTGTCGAAAACAATTCAGAGAAAGTTTGAGGACATTTATAGTGACTATATAAATTATCTTGAATTAACATTTGTCAAATTTGCCAAGAACTGCATATGGCAGATTAAGACTATTATAGATTAAAATGGTACTTCCTAATTATTATGGCTCCTATTTTGTAAACAGTGACTAAGATAATAATCGTGACCAAGATAATAACCATAAATCGCCAATATAAACTATCATCAAATGACAGTAATTCTAACCCCTATCAGTTATAGTTTACTCGTGATAAGAAAGATCTAAGTAAATAATGTGTCATCGTATGTTTTACATACAAATGTGAACACATTTTGTGATTGCTTATTATTTCTGTCTTGATGAAAAGAATTCTGCTTATTATTTCTGTCTTGATGAAAAGAATTCTGAATATTTAATGTGTTGACATATTTTTCTTTTATTAAGAAAATATTTAAAATATTTTATTTAAGGAGAAGTGATGGCAAATGATATATCTTTTTCCAAGAAAGGTACATTTTACTTTCCATTCAAAATACAAAAATGACCATTAAATAAAACTACTTATCAATGAAAGCATTTATAGGTGCAATCTAAAAAATTCTGAATGAAGGAAAAGCATGCGTTTTGGTAACTGGTACAATGGTTTCAAAATATTGTTTGTAATAGCATTGATTTCTTTACTGTTGGACAGAGAAACTGAACTATATTAAATGAAGCAGCTTAGCTTTTATGAAAATACAACTATTGACTGGAGCAGTTTTATGAGGGAAGTGTATTTTCAACATATTGTGGTTCCACACACTCCACTTGTTATATGGCATATCAAATTAAACAAATGATTTAAAAAAAACTCCTTAATGTGCTGTGATCATTAAAGCTAGTAGTAAGAATTCAGTATCCTCTGAATGGCATGCCTGCCTTATGTGGTCATGAGATTTTTTTATCACTTTTTATATATTTTTCTTCTAAGGCATGTTATAAAGTATTTTAAGGCCTCCCCAAAGAGATTTTTAAACCAAATAAGAATAATAACATTGCATTACCAATGCTTGCAAAATTACTGCTTTCACAATTATATACTTAATGAATAAAGGGCAACTTGCTGCCAACTGTTATATATTATTGGAATATGTTTAATATAAATCTAAGGCATTTATTGCAGTAAATATGATTTTCTAGATGAGCATGTATATTTTTCATAACAATGTAGTCTGTTTACAGCCTCTTAAGTCAACTATTTCTAATCTTAGATAACACAAGCTCTTGATGTTTAGGATGCAATGATGTATTTCATGGATGAAATCAGGGATAAATAGAAAGGCTAGGTCATTCTTTTGTTCGACTCCTCGCAGACATTAGCCTCATGGAGGGGTTAACTGGAAGTAATCTGACGTGTGTGTATTGCACCTGCTCTGATTTCGCACGTTTAAAACTGTAGTTTCATTCAGTAGCGAGACGATTTTCTGGAGGTCGCATATCCCAAATTAATTTTAATCATACATATTTGTTTTCTAATAATGCAAATATTTAATAATTCGTGGATATATATATATAATATATATATATATATTATATATATAGTTTTAGTCAGTTTTCCTTTTAAATTCTATATTTAAAGTATCCTTTATGTAATATGGCTTCTTGTGCTGTAGCAACGTGCCGTAACACTTATAGAAATACAAAAGGAAGATATATTGTATTTCATGCTTTCCTAAAGGACAATTTGCTTTTGTCGAAAGAATGGATACATAAATGTCGAAGACAGGATTCTAGTAATGTGAAAAATGCACGAATTTGCGGTGAAAATTTTCTGTGCAATGATTATGAAGATGACATGAGAAATCATTTACTTGGATTGCCGAAAAAGAAACTGTTGAAATGCAATACTGTGCCGAAAGTAAATTTATCGTGTGCAGTAAATGAAATAACACCAAGAAATCTGTGACATTTGAAAAGAAAACTAATGCAGAGTGCTTTTGAAAGATTACATGAATTAAGCCCAAAGAAAATTTATTTTGAGGCCGAGACCAAAATTGAAGCTGACAATAATAAATCAAATGTGAATGATTTTTAAATAAAAAGGGACAATATCCCTGAATAACCTAAGTGTAAAGATAAACAAGAATGTATTGATAATTTGAAGAACAAAATAATATCTTTAGAAAATTGTAATAAAATATTGAAAAATAGAGAAAAGAAAAATTTTAGCATGTTTGCTCAGCGACAAAGAAGGTGGATGACATCTAGAAAGAAATTTGTATCGGAAATTCAGAAATTAAAATCCCAAACAATCAAATTTAGGAAAAAACAGCACAGATCGGAGAATTTGCTAAAACGTTTAAAGCATATTTTTACAAAGACACAGATTAACACATTGCTAGAAAAGAAGGAAAAAATCAGGTGGACTAGTGAAGATATATCACGTTGCATTGTCATAAGAGCTCTGTAGAATACGTTTCTTAAATTCATATGTTTTTTCCCCAAAAAAAAGCAACCCAAAAGGCAAAAAAAGTAGATTGTTTCGAATGTGGTAGCCAATAAATAATATTTCAACAACTTGTAGTTGCATTGTGACTGTACAAGTAAGCATATATAATATGTTTTGATTTGAAATATTTCTAGATGACATTTTAGAAGTTAATGGCGTAAAGCATATTTAAAATGGGAACTAATTTTGTTAAGTTATTGTTAAAGTTATTTTTATTGTATTCTGTTTTATTATTGATTCGATTTTGTGCTAGCTTAGCATTCTAGATAAAATATAATAGTATAACATTAAAGTAATTGGCATAAGGAAACCTGCCTCCTTAATCCCCACTTTTGAAAAATGAAATAATTTTTTTTAGGTACTGTGAGTAAAGTTGTTTTGTCTAAATTAAGATAACAATCTTAATGCATTTATTTAAATGTAATATTGATGTAAACCTAAGTTACAAAATTATTAAAAAAATATATGTTATTATATTGAATCGGGAGAAAAATATGCCAATGTAAAATTTACAATTAGGCTGAAACTCAAAGTTTGATTAGCAAAAATTTTGAAAACTATGCCAACCAATTTAAGGTTGTTTTTTGATTAATTTTAAATAGCTGTTATTATAGTTATCTTAGAAGCAGTAGTACAGTTCTTTTAGTTAACATACAGATAAAGAAATGATTAGAAATAAACAGGCATTTAAAGGAAAAAAAAAAAAAAACCCTGCAAATTAAAAAATAATAATAATAATAATAATAATAATAATAATAAAAATAAAAAATGGAACTTTATGCTAAGAGTAGTGCATTTTATCTGTTATTTTAAAAATTGAGTAAATGCTATTAAATTTTTTAATGTTCAGTGTAAAATGCATACTGCATCAACATTGTCTTTTCTAAATTATAGCTATTTTTCACACGCAGCTCATTTTAAACACTGGTTCTTCAGATTTAAAACACTAATTTCTGTGTTGTCAGTTGCATCTCCGTGCTCAGTGTCATTATGGCTACGTCATCACTCCCCACTGCCTGTTTCAAGGGGAAAAGCTCTATGAGCTAGCCCTTCTCTTCAAGTCCTGGGATGAAATTCATGTTATGTAAAATAATAATAGCTAGTTACCTTATTGAATACTAGGAAGCCTATTGCTCTATTCATGCAAAGAAGGGAAAAAAAATAATTGACTGATTAAAATAACTGCAAATAAAATTATGAAACATAACTGCCACTTAGTTGGCATAAATGATATTGAATAGATGATTTGATCTCCTCTTGGAAAGAAGGCTGTTAGCACTGGCTAACTGTTGTAAGATAGCTGTGTACCTTTCTGTATAGGAAAAATCCATTCTGAAGAGAGCAGCAAATTTTTTGGGCCTGTTGTTGAGGACTCTTAGGCCTAGGGCATGGCTGCTATCAGCCAACCCACGTAGCTGGGTTTCAAAGGAGCAGGAGATGATAATGATTCAGTAAAAACCTCAGGGAAAACAATTTATCATTTCTTGTTTCATAAAGTTTTTACCAGATGTTTCATCAGGCCATCCAAGCAACACTGAAGCTGGTTCACAGGGAGCTTATCCTTTTTAGATATGAACAAAATATGCGTAGAGAGAGAGAGAGAGTCTTCTTAGAAAGCACTTTCAAAGGCATTTTACTGAGGACATAAGTGAATTTATGTGTAAAAAATAAGTTAGGCCTGCTTTCTTAAGTGTTCGCCAATATATTATAGTGGTAATTCACCACATTCCTTCCAATGTAACAAAAAATGTTCAAACCTAAGAAACTTAACCAAACAAATCTATTTTTTCCTTCCAAAAATTCAGCCCCTTCAATTTTAATGCCAAGCATAAGCAATTGCTTTTCCTGCCACTTTCTCTCTAACAGAAGTGTTGGGTGATATCTTGGTAAACAAATGCTTAAAATTCTGTTGAAAAGTGACTTTCAAATAATTTCCCCTTCCAAAAAATTAGTTATGTTATTAAATAATTCTTCACATAATTAGATTAAAAAATCTCAAGTTTTACTAGAAAAATTTCTATGCATACTGTTCTTAAACTTGAAAAATTAGTTATTTGTATTTTTAATTTTGAATAATATTAAAAAATTACTTAAGTTGTCTGCCTTTTTCAAATAAAAACTTTGATGGTTGTAACCAGGTTTATGAATT